GCAAAATCCAGCCCGAACCCGGCCCCGGAGCTGCGGACTCCAGCCCGAACCCGGCCTCGGAGCTGCAGAATCCAGCCCGGACCCTGGGGAACTGCGGAATCCGGCCAGGACCCTGTTCCGGTGGTCTTTAGAGCCCGGGGGATCCCGTCCTGCTGCTCTCACCGCCTCGGGTCCCACAGGGCTGAAAGCAGCGTTTGGTGTCCAAGGATGCCAAGGAGGGATCGCGGTCCCAGCCGAACTCCAACCCGCGGTTCCCACTGCTCATGGGGGCCTGAAAAAAGGGAGGAACCCACTCCTGTCCCTCCTGCCCTGGGCTGTGCCCACCCTCGTACCCACCTCGTACCTGGGCAGAGCTGGAGCCCTCAGGGCAGCCTCAGGACAGGCAGAAGCAAGAGAAGAGAATTTAAGGAGTCTGTGATGGAACAGAGGGACTGAGGTAGGGAAACACAACGCAGTTGCAGCAGATCACTCCACTTGCCTCTAGGAGCTCGTTCTGGTTCAAGTTTGGAGGCACCCCTGCATTTCAACACCCCAGACCTGGCACCAGCATTTGGGGCACCTGTGAGAGGAACAAACAGCTCCCTCCAGCTCCAGCACAGGGAGGGAAAACTTTGGGCCTCCTCCAAGGCTGGGATGGCATCCCTGGCACGGGGAATCCTGCTCTGCCTGGAGGAGAGCACTTGTGGAGGGCAGGAGAGGATCAGACAGCAGAGGCAGGGACCCCTGCTCTTGTTTCACCATCAATATACACTGGACTGTTGCATCTTGGCCTCTAAAAAGAAGACAGACTTCTGGCTCACTTTCAAATTAGGTTTTTAATTAAATAAATAACGGCGAGGGGTCTTCAAGGCAGTGTCACTTCACAGTGTAGGGCTGGGGGGCAAGGGAGAAAAGAGTCCAGCATTGGGAGCGGCTCAAAGTGAATGTGCTTTGTAAGAAGGAGAAAAGAAAACCCCAACCAAAAAAAAAAAAAAAAAAAAACCAACCAGAACCAAACCCCCTCCCTGTCCCAGCCTTTCTCACCCCTCTCCCTCAAAGTTATGTGGAAAAAGCGCTGCACTCATGTTGAAAGACCCCATGCAAATCTGTAAACAACACTGAAGGACATCGAGAGATTTCTGCCTCAGCCAGCTCCCCTCTCCTTTCACTAGGGCTTGAAATAAACCAAAAGAAAAAATGGTTTCAGGAAAAGTAAGAATGTTCTCAGCCTATGGAGGAGATGCCAAGGCCTGGCCCTCCGTGGGAGGGCTGCCTGACTCTCACCCTGCCTCCTCTTCTCCCTCCAGCCAAGGAGCCTCCTGTCACCCCCAGGAAAGGGGAATCACAGCCTGGGCAGTTCCACTGTGGAGCAGGCACTCGTGTTTGCTCTCTGTTCCCAGCAGAGGAGAGGGGGAGGCCCCTGCTCAGCACCTCTGGCTGCCAACGCCATGCCTGGGGCTCAGCACAGAGCTGGGCACCAAAGCAAACCCCTGCCAAAGCACACAAACCACATCTGGGCCTTAGGAGGTGAGACAAGCTCCAATCCTGACATCCCATGGGGCTTTTGATGCTGTCTCCCTGCTCCTGCTGCAGGGCTGGGCACAGCTTCCCAGAGCCAGGGAAAGGAGGGTGCAGCCTCCTGGGTTTAGGTACCTGCCAAATGCACTGCAGCAGAGCCAAGTGCACAATCACAGCCCCAAATCCACCAAAACACTCAACCCAAGCTCCTTCCCAGCTGCAGAGCACAGCTGGAGGAAACACAGCTCTTGTGGGAGCTTTGCCCAGCAGGTGAGTGCAGAGAATTCCCTGCATGGGAAAAGGGGAATGGGAACAACTGAGCCATGGCCAACTCCACACCTGCAAACTGAAGCAGCTTTGGACTCCAGCACAGCCAAGGACAGGCTCCTGTGGCTCTGCACAGCACCTGGCACCTTCCATGGCAGAGAAGACACACGTTCCTCTCAGCACAGCCTGTTTTGTGGCACAGGGATGCTGTGGGACTGTGCTAGCACCCACATCCCAGACACCCTGGGAGCTGAGCAACCTCCTCCCTCTGCTGACAAACTGTTGGAACAAACGGGGAAGTTACAGATGTTGTCACCTGCATTCCACCCTCTGGCCCTTCAGCCCAGACAAGATCAGGTCATCTCCTGCCAGCAGCAGCAGCATAACTCTTGGCCAGCATCACTCTGAGTCCAGAACCTCCTGTTCCTCCCCACAGAAATTCTCCCTGGCCCAGCACTGCACAGAGAGGTGAGAAGGAATTGAGCGCACATGATGCTGCTGCACACACAGCATCACCTTCCAAAACCTGACATTTCTGCCCAAAGACTGGGCCAGACCATGTCCCACTGCAGCTGCTGGAGAGTCAGAACACGTGGGTGCTGCCAGCCCCTTCCAAAACCTGACATTTCTGCCCAAGGGCTGGGCCAGGCCATGTCCCACCTACAGCTGGTGGAGAGTCAACACGTGGCTGCTGCCAGAGCTCCTGGCATGAGAGCCCAGCTGCTGTCACGGTCCTTAAAGCCCAGCTTGTCCCATTCCACTCTAAAGCCTGGGATAGTGTCCCAGGCAGGACTCAAGGTGACACTGCCAGCCAGGCCACCCCTTCCCTGAGCCTGCTGTGGTCCCAGGGGCTGTGCACAGGTGATGGGAGATGTCCTAGATCATTTACCCACCTCCAGCATATCCAAAGCACTTGTCAGCAGCATGACCCCCTTGCTCACTGCTCACAGCAGTGTTTCCATCCATCAGCAGCTGTGTGTCTGTCCTGTCCATGGCAGCTGGGAGGAGGACAGGGTGAGTGGCTCCTACTGCAGCACGCTGCCCATGGAGGAAGGATCAGCCTCCCTTGGCATCACCGTGCCCATCTCTGCAGGAAACTGCCCTGCAGCCCTCCCAGGCTCTCAGACCCCCAGCCTGCACCCTCACCATGATGGTGACACATCTCTCTTCTCAAAGCACCTCAGACTGTCCCGCTGGGGCCAAGGGACACGTCCCCATCCCGAGGCAGGGACTGTCTGAGCAGACTGGCATCACCCAGGGTGACACATGGCCAGCACAGGAGGGGGGTGAGGGACCTCCCCACTCAGGAAAGCCAGCCACCACTTTGCACAACTGTGTCAGGATACACTGGAGCAGAAAGGTGTTTGGTTTCACTGTAGCCTTGGATCAAGGAGGATGGAAAGACGGATTCCGACCGACAGCTCCAAACTGTCCCTACAGGACAGTGGAAGTTCCAGAATTTCACTCAGTCAGGTCAAAGTCCTTGCTGGGTCTGTGACAAATTTGTGACTGGAGACTTTCACTGTGACAGAGGCTCTGAGTGAGCCACAGGTGCTGGGCAAGCCTGGTGACCAGTCAGGAAAGTATTTACATCTCCGATGCCGATGAGACCGAAATCTGTGACCGATAAGGACACTTGAGCAGGGGCCACCACTGCCTCAGGGTCTCTGTCCAAATCCACAGCTCCAGCAATTAAAGGCAACCCCTCATTAATGTCTGCAGGGAGAGTGAAGTCCATGGTTATTGTCTCACCAGAGTTCTGCAACGTTTCCTGCTTCTCTGCCAGTCCTGGTGCCGCGGGTGGCAAAGCAAAGAGCTCGGGCTCGGAGGGGGTGACAGAGTGACGTGGGCAGGGCACAGGGACAGCCCCCGAGGGTGCCTCCTCTGAGGGGTCAAAGGAGCAGTTTGTCTCCGAGGGGGTGCTGCACTCATAGCCCTGCCCTGACTCACTGATGCTGCCCAGGCTGCAGGCTGTGCTCTCCACGCTCAGGGGCTCTGCTCAGGTGGGGACAGAGAGAAGAACAAGAAAGTCAAATTCAAAGTGAGTCCACAATGCCCGAGATGGTGTTTGTTAGGTGGCACAAGTGTTTCTTTGTTACAGCAACCAAGATTCCCCCATCAGCCCCCACCGAGGGAAGGCAAGATGCCCACAGCAGATGGGAGGCCATCAGTGTTTCTATGGAAATTAAAGGAAACCTCACAGACACACTGCAAGATAAGCCAAACCCTAAATCCTATCCCGTCGTGCCAACAACCCCTGGGAGCTGCCCACACAAAGCTTTCATCTGCAGGAGGACAGTGAGGGAATGAACCCATGTGGGGCTCCCTGGAGACCTTCTCACAGCCAGCTCTGTGTGAAAGCAGCTTGCACCTCACTTCTGGGGCCTTAACCCAGCCTCTGGAGGAGCTGCTTGTTTCAGAGCTTTGGAAGCAGCTCACCCAGGTGATCCTTTTGTTTTGGGAATGACCTAGGCCACCCCTCCAAGCCCACAACTGTTTTACAGTCACCCCTGGTCAGTACAGAGACAAACAAGACTCCTGCTGACACCAAAACCCCATGGCAGAGAGACAAAAAGGAATTACCTGTGCTCTCAATTGCTATCTGATCCTGCCCAAAGTGAGCATCCAGGCAGCCAGCTGCAGAGGGAATTGGTGGGGAGCTCCGAGAACGATTTGTGTTTTCCAATTCAACCGCATCCAGGTCATTGTCAGTGAAATCCCTGTGGGGAAACAGAGAGAGCCTTGCCACCAGCTGCTGAGCAGAGAGATGCAGGCAGGAAAAAGGGTGACTGGGATTAAAACCCATCAACAAATAAAGCAGGATTGTAGAGACATCACGAGAATGAATGTTCATCCCTCCCTGCTCTCAGAGCCCTGAGGAGGTGATCTCAGGTAACAGTGTGGCCAAGACCAGCCCATGATAAACCAAAATGAACTCTCCAGCTTCCTAAAGAGCTTTGCCCCCAATTCTGTGAGCTTCAGCCTGTTCCAAAGGGAAATAAATCCATGAACAAACACCCAGTTTGGGTGGGAACACCCAGTTTCATGCAATGACTGCGGTGGGTCCTCAGCGTGCCAGCAAAGAGCAAGTGATGAGAAATATACTTTTCCACCCTGGGAAGATTTAAGATTTCAGGTATTTTCCTGTCTTGCATCAGAATTAAAAAAAAATTCTAAGCCTTCATCTGATATTTTTAATTGATTCAGCTTCAATATTTCATTTTGACCTATTAAGAGATTTCCGTTTCAACCTTTTTGAAAAGGTGTATTTTGAAAAGTACTTTCTGTAATTAGCATACATTTCAAAGGGAAGAATTTGCCTCAAAGGGAAATTAATTCAGGTTCCAAACCACCAGAAATAAATGGATTTTTGAATTTAAAAAGCTCCTTTCCCAAAACCTCATCAAGCAGAGTTCTTTCACCAAAGTCAGCTCTGAATCCCTGTCCCCAGCCTTTTGTGGATGTGCTTGGAACAAAACTACTTTTGACACACAGAAAAGGATGAGAAAGTCCAGAGCTCTTTTATCTTCCCTCCCCACACCAAGTGAGTGCTTGTGCTCTGAGAACACCCCGTGCATCCCTCCATCCTCCCACCCCAGAAACCTTCTGGAGAAGAAAGCGCAGTCTGTTAAGCGGAGGTGCTTTGCAGCAGGAATCTTCACGGGGAGGTTAACATTACTAATTTTAGTGTGAGAATATTCCACGCACGTGGCTCCAGGGTGGAGGACGTACTTCTTCCTTCCTAGACGAGTCTGCTGAGTGAAGTAGTCATAACGTTCTGATTTTTTCCACATGTAATAATACTCCACGCACTCGCCCACCGACCGCGTGCGGACCTGAGGAGAAACATCCCAGTCAGGACAGCCCACCCTCATCCCTTGCATCTCCTGGAGCAAGGAGCTAAGTTCCCATTTAACCAGCACGGAAAGTTAGAAGTGCATTACAGTGATTTACATTGCTATGGACACATTGCTGCAGAACAGAAGCACGTACTGAGGTTTCCGAGGTGGCCAAGAGAAAGGAACTCCCCACAGCACACAGCTGCTGGCACAGACCCCTGTGGGCCACACGCACTCGTGCAGGACTTTCCTGTGCTTCCAGCAGCAGCACACTTAGCAGAGAGAGCAAACCTGCATCCATTGGCACTGGCCAGCGTCAACATGCCTACAATTAACCAGTGGTAGAACTGGACTCTCTGGTTCTGCCAACTCCCAGCACAGCAGCATGTCCCGGGGCCCAGCTCTCCCTACAACAGCATCTGCCATTCTAGAGGACCCCAGGGGACTTTACGAAACATCCACATGCTCAACTCACTCATTCACAGAAGTACTGCAAGGGCTGAGAGTTTGGAAAGAACTTTTGAGACTCCAGAAAGGGCTAATCAGTAATTAACTGACATCACTCATGCAGGTCAGTGGTGTTTGTGACTTCTCCCACCTGGAAAATAAGGCAGAGCAGGGCAGTGAACAGCCCATCACCTGCTGGCATGAGTCAACACAAAGCCTGGGACTGGAACTCGGCCATCCTGAACTCCCTGTGTCAGCCCAGGCCCAAAACACACCTGTGGTGCCCAAGCACCTTCCTCCTTCCCCTGCTCCTCACCTGGGGGGAGCAGCCTTACCTTGTTGGCTTGGATAAGGTGAAAGTTTTTCCCATGGACCCTAAAGCCATGCTCAAAATTTCTACATTCTTCCTCNGCAGGGGGAGGGCGGTGCTGGCCTGGGCAGAGGCCAAGTGCTGAGGGTTAACCCTTGCTCTGGGGGTTTTGGGGATCAGCCTCCAAAGATGCCTCAAATCCCCACAAACCTGGTCTGTGCCTCGGACCATGAGCCCAGGGGTGATGCTGAGATGGTTTTGCTCTTCAGGGCCTCCTCCCCAGCCAGGCTCAGCCCCCTGTGTGCCTCATTACTGGGCTGATCCCAATTCCCTGTCCCTCTCCCCTCCGCCCCGGCTCCCTCCCGCTGCTCTCGCTGCCGGCTTGACACTGACGTGAGCTGCTAAGTGGAAAAAATTAATGGGGGCCTCGCTAATTGGAGCTGAGACACCAGGAAAGAGAGAGAGAGAGAGACACAGGCCAGGGTGGCTCTGCAGGCGGTGATGGGTGCTGTGGTGTGGCAGGGGACACAGCCACTTGGATTTAGGGGCTTTTTGCTGCTGTACCTCTGTCCTTGCACCATTGGGATGTCCCCAAGGAGCTGCAGCCCCTGCAGGGGACACAGCCACCTGGATTTAGGAGCTTTTTGCTGCTGTGCCTCTGTCCTTGCAGCTTTTGGGATGTCCCCAAGGAGCTGCAGCCCCTGGAATTCCTTGGGATGTCCCCAAGGAGCTGCAGCCCCTGGCAGGGGACACAGCCACCAGGATTTAGGAGCTTTTTGCCATGCCCAGGGTGCTGCTGTACCTCTGTTCTTGCACCACTGGGATGTCCCCAGGGAGCTGCAGCTTTTGGGCATTCCTTGAGATGTCCCCAAAGAGCTTCAGGCCCTGGCAGGGGACACAGCCACCAGGATTTGGGGACTTTTTGTGTGCCCAGAGTGCTGCTCTACCTCTGTCCTTGCACCTTTGGGACATCCCCAAGGAGCTGCAGCCCCTGGCAGGGGACACAGCCACCTGGATTTAGGGACTTTTTGCCATGCTCAGGATGCTGCTGTACCTCTGTCCTTGAAGCTTTTGTGACATCCCCAAGGATCTGCAACCCCTGGAATTCGTGTCCTGATGGGAGGGCACGGCTGAGGAGGCCGTGGTGATGCTGGGACACCTCAGGACCATCCAGACCCCCAGCACGATGTCTTTGTGCCGAGGTTCCAGAGTCCCCCCCTGCTCTCCCAGCAGTGGTTTTTTGCCTCCAGGGAGAGCGTGAGGAGGAGAAAAGCAGATTAGAGTTATCTGAGCCGAGAGCTAAATGTCAGCTCACATCTGACACAGCTCCGAGGGGGAGGCAAGGAGTGGTGCCCCCCTCATCTCAGGGGGCACCTCTGGGGGCACGGGCAGCTGCGATGCCACCAGAGGGGAGGGATGGCTGCCCTGGGGTCCCGCTGCCTCGCCGGGCTGGCACAATCCCAACCGCAGCCCCAGAAACTTTCCTCCGGCGGTTCCCATGGAAACCGGGGATTTGCTTCTCCCCAAAGTTGAGCTGCGCGCCTGAGCTCTGTGCCCGAGCGGAGCCCCTTCCTCGGAGCCCCACGGGACGGTGGTTTGGGGAGAGCTGCTGCTCTGGTTGGCACCGTGCCTCGGTGGTTGAGGAGTCAGAGCAGCTCAGACACCGTGCCCGGGCTGTTCCGTGCCAGACCGGGATGTCCTGAGAGGAGAGAGGCACCGAGGAGGAGGAGAATCATCACCTGTTCAGCACTCTGTCATCTCCACAGCCCAGGCAGAGAAAATGAGCAGCCTGCTGAAAAAATAGCCCGGCAGAGTGACCAGAGAGCCCTTGGTCCATTCCCAGCCATGGTGAGCCCCTGCCAGTGATGGGCACACAGCAGGAGCCAGCCCTGCTGCGGGCTCCAGCTGGGAAAGACACTCGGGGAGTGATTTGAGACAGTTCATGGGCAATCATGGGGGGAAGGACGTTTGGGGAATGATTTTAGACCCTCCTGTGCAATCAAAGAGGGAAAGGACATTTGGGGAATGATTTGAGATGGTCCATGGGTAATCATATGGGGAAGGACATTTGGGGAATGATTTAAGACCCTCCCAGGGCAATCATGGGGGCAAGGACACGTGGGGAGGGATTTGAGACCTTCCTGGGCAATCAAAGAAGGGAAGGACGTTTGGGGAGTGATTTGAGACCTTCCTGGGCAATCAGAGGGGGAAGAACATTTGGGGACTGATTTGAAATGGTCCCTGGGCAATCAGAGGGGGGAAGGACATTTGGGGAGCGATTTGAGACCCTTCTGGACAATCTGAGGGGGGAAGGACACTTGGGGAATGAGTTGAGATGGTCCATGGGCAATCAGAGGGGGGAAGGACATTTGAGGGGTGATTTGAGACCTTCCCTGTGCAATCAGAGGGGGAAGGACATTTGGGGAGAGATTTGAGATGGTCCCTGGGCAATCAGAGGGAGGAAGAACATTTGGGGAGGGATTTGAAATGGTTCCTGGGCAATCATAGGGGGAAGGACATTTGGGGGGTGATTTGAGACCTTCCCATGGCAATCAGAGTGTTTCAGGGCTCTGCTCAACCCCAGCAGGAAGGGGATGCTGCTCTGCTGGAAGGAAAATCTTTCCCCATCCATCACTCCCTCCCGTGGGCTGGCAGGAGCTGGCACTGGGCACCAGCCCTGGGGGCACTGAAACCCTGAGGGCTGAGCTGCGGGAGCCTTTCCGTGGGATAAGTGTGGAGGAGTCAGATTTAGACAACAATGACTAAAACTGAGCCTCAGTAAAAATTAACTCTCCGAAGAGGGGAATGTTCCAGGCGCTGCCATTTGCTGTCGGTAAAAATAAACCCGCAGGTTCAACACAGCCCTTTTTCCTTCTGGCTGCTCACGTGCCACATCAGGGCAGCTTCCTCCTGCTGAAATGGTTAAAAATTATAAAATCACGCAGGATCAGCTCTGCCTTGCCCTGCTGAGCATCATCCCCATGGCCGAAGTGGGGTCCCCAAGGCCTCTCAGTACTCAGGGGTGCATCAGGGCTGGGGTGAATTTTTTAGCACAGATTTTGGGGTGCAGCCAGCACCTGCTCCGCATCCCAGAGCTGGAAGGAGCTGGAAACATCAGGTGGTGTTTGAGGCTGGCTGGACACCTGGCAGGGCCCATCCCTGCAGCACACAGCCCCCCTGCCAGGGCTGCCTCCTTCCCTCCACCTGCCATCCTCACTGGGGTTTTAATTAGTGCTCCTCTGTATATTCAGCAAGCAGGAGCCCGGAATGGAAATGTACAGGTGTCCCCTTGATCCAGTTTCCATGGTTGCCGCATCGAGGTGGGGGCTACATCCTATTTTTTTTTATTATTTTTTATATTTAATAATTTTATTACAGTGGCTTCAATCCACTGGCGAAGAAGGGAAGGGGGGGAGAACGTGGGGGAATAAAAAATGCTGGATGAAAAGGGCATGTTCCCGTGGCTGGGCTTATTTGCTGTCATTCTTTTTCTCTTATTAGCCAGTGCTGTTTTCCAACATGCTCAAAGTCCAGGAGCTCACTAACGAGATCCCAGCTCTGTCTGCTGTGGGGGAACAGCCCAGGCAGCCATGCTGGAGCCACACAAATATCTGCAGGGCCAAGGTGGGCATGGGGAACACCACAGAGCTGTGCTGACATCCTCATCCCCATGTCCCATTCTGTGGGATTGGCCCTGCCATCCCTCACTGTCGGAACAATAATTTTCACTAGTACAAATACAACTCCTATAGCATTTCCATACAGCTTATAAGAATCATTATATTACCATGGTGTGTTACATTTTAAACCCTAAAAACACCTTTTTGGGCCTCTTCTGCCAAGCTGTAGGGTCTGCTCTGACCCTTGGATCTGTCTGCAAGCAGAGGGTGTTGTTCCATCAAAAAAAGGTTACCACACCATTGTTTTCCAGTTGTTCAGTAATTAAAGTATCTCAGACCTTGCTTTCATTTCAATCTCACTCATAGTTTCCATATTCTCAAAATCTTCTGCCAGACAATCATATTTATAAGGCTTTCCTGTTTCATCTTCCCCAGCACAGCAAAGCCACGAAGGGACCTCAGCCACCCCCGAGCAGCTCTAGGGGACACCAGGATGGTGTGCAAGGAAAACCCAGGGAGTGCCAGGCAGAGTCCCCAGAGCCCTGCCAGGGAAATGGGCTCAAGCTCAGGGATGCCAGCACCAGGATCTGTCTGTCCTGTGCCATCCCCACAGAGAGTGGTGGCACTCAGGGAAGGTGGTGGCACTTGGAGGGTGGTGGCACTTACACTCAGGGAGGGTGGTGGCATTCGAGGAGGGTGGTGGCAATTGGTGAGGATGGTGGCACTTGGGGAAGGTGATGGCACTTGGAGGGTGGTGGCACTTAGAGGGTGGTGGCATTTGGTGAGGGTGGTGGTGGTGGCACTTGGAGGGTGGTGGCACTCAGGGAGGGTACTGACATTTGGTAAGGGTGGTGGCACTTGGTGAGGATGGTGACACTCAGGGTGGTGGCACTTGTGAAAGGTGGTGGCACTTGGAGGGTGGTGGCATTTGGGGAGGGTGGTGGCACTTGGAGGGTGGTGGCATTTGGAGGGTGGTGGCACTCAATGAGGGAAGTGGCACTCAGGGAGGGTGGTGGCACTTGGAGAGGGTGATGGCACTTGGAGGGTGGTGGCATTTGGAGGGTGGTGGCACTCAATGAGGGTAGTGGCACTCAGGGAGGGTGGTGACAGTTGGGGAGGGTGGTGGCATTTGGGGAGGGTGGTGGCACTCAGGGAGGGTGGTGGCACTTGTGAAAGGTGGTGGCACTTGGAGGGTGGTGACACTCAGAGAGGTTGGTGGCACTCGGGGAGGGTGGTGGCACTTTGGGAGGCTGGTGGCACCTAGAGTGTGGTGGCTGCTCTGGGTGCCAGCACCATGAACTCTCCTCCTTTTCTCTCACCAGCCTCAATCTCCTCTGCTGTGACCAGCGCAGTGTGTGAACGTCCCCATCTGCCACCACAGGATTGTTTAGCCCAAACCCTGCCTTGAAAACAGCCAAAATCTTCTCTGTTTAGCTCAGGATGTGTTTCAGCTTTTGTGCAACGGGCGTTAAAAATATCCCAGAAACTGCATGGGCCCAGAAAAATCCTCTTTGCTCGCCCTGCACTGCTCAGCTGGGCTTGCCAAGAAGGAAGAATTCCCCTCTGCTCCTGGCACCGTCCGGCGCTGTGGCAGGCAAACACACACAACCGAGCCACAGACCTATTAGTCACCAGTAAATGTTCTTTTCTTCTCCCGATCTGTTTCCCTTGAAGCTTGATGTTTTCCTCTCCTGCTGCCCGGGCCTCGCTAGGCTGCAATTAAAGCCAGGAATCAAAACAGCGTGGTGCAATTAAAGCTCGGGATGCCCTGGGGCTCATGCACATCCCGCCTGTCCCGGGGAGCTGTGACAGTGCCAGGGGGCAGGACAGGCTCAACTGTGAAGATCTTCATCGTTTACAGCGTCATCAGCAGTTCTGGCACCTGGAGGATGAGCGGAGATGCATTCGCTCCCCAAAGGAGATGAATTTTCCTGGCTGTGAGAGTGGTAAACACACGAGCAGCTCACGGTGGGGAGGAGACGCTGAGATTGAATCTCCATCATGCCAGGGGAGGCTGTGCCCATCCCTGCACTGAGTGATGCTCACTGTGCCCTTCCCTGTGGTTTTCACTGGGGACAGCCCTGAGGGTGCAGATCCCACACCCAGAACCCAGAACACAGAACCATCCTGCTGGTTCTTGTCCCTGTGCCAGCTCAGGGGACAGCCAGGCCATTGCTGTCCTGCCCCTGGCCAGGGAATAACAAACCAGTCCTGCTCCTGGCCAGGGAATAACA